ACATCACTGAGGCACTATTGTTTCTCCAGGATAATATGCAAAATAATGCAAACTCTGGTCTTTACATGGTATTTTTCTTCCTGGATGGTGGAAAAAGCCTGGGAAACAGATCTCATGTTATTTTGGTACCGTAAATGGGCCCTGGATGCAAAAAAGCCCATAAACAATGTATACAAAAACACAAATTCAGAGAAATGCAGGTTTCTCGGGGTTTGTCACAACCCAAATACACAGCCCTGCTTTCCATTTCCTTTACATCCACTGGTTTAGGGAGGACCCTGCTGCTCCCAGAAAGCTCCAGCTCCAGCCCACATTTTATTGACGGCATTGGGTAAGAAATAGACATGAGCAAGACTCCTCTTGAATTACCAATACTCGTATAAAACACAGAGATAAGGGAGGGGCTGCACTGATTTAACAAGCACATAAGTCCATCATAAACCCAGACAGCAAAAGATCAGGTGATTTATAATGTCACCCCAACACCCAAGATGGGATTAAATGAACATAAATCACTGTGACCATTTATTTATAGGTATTATTTCTAATAACCCATATAATCTGTGAAAGGGTGAATTAACCCTATGGAGAATCTCACATGGATGAAGTTAAAACTCTTTCTCAAAATAGCCAGATGCTTATGCAAATACAGCCAGGGATGGAATTGAATGGAGCCACCTGGCAATCCAGTTGCTTGTAATAGACTAACAATTATTAGTGTCTCAGCAGGATCTCCGGGGGAAACATCAGAACCCTCCTGCACAAGAGTGAATTTAAATTGGAGCAGAGTGGGCTAGAAGCTGTAGGAAAACATGCAGCTGGTTCTGCTTCCTGGATATGGGGACTGTGGCTAAAGACAATCAATTTCCTTACTAGTTTAAGGCCAGATTCTCATGTCTAGCCATGGAGTGCTCAGTACAGCAGCAAGGAACAAAGTGGATTTAAGACACCCCTTTGCTCTTCCAATCCTAGGAGAGCTGCTAGGAACCAGCAACCTGAAGATATGGGTTTGGGTTCGGGTTTGGGTTCAGCCTATATCTCATTAAAACAGTCAAGAATAGTGCAACAGCTCCACCGGAAATGACATTAAAAGCTTTTATATAGTTATGAAAACAAGAGAACAGGGATTTTAGCCATGCTTCTAGTCAAGGCTTCAACTGAGATGGTTTCCCAAACTGCTGCATACAGGGGATGTGCTTTAATAAAAGAAGAGATGAATTAAGACTTTATGTCATCAGATCAGTTGATTAGAAATTTCAGTCTGGCTTCCTGTGCAGTCACTGCCACCCTCTCTAACTTATCATCCAAATAATCTATATTAAACTATTTAATGTGCAATGCCTGACCATGAAAGCAATCAGATGAGAGGATCCTTATTAATAGACAAGACTAGCAGCTTTCTCAGCAAGTTTCACAAATACGGGATGGGGAATGGAGTTCTCTATTTTTTGAGGCGATGTCTTTCATGTGAAAGGCCACCCAATGTTCTGCTTAGTATCTCACTGGGAGTTTAGCTTGCATCACCCTTTGTCCCCAGATCAAAAACATTCAAAACCAGTAGATGCCGAAGACAGTCCCTAAAGAAATGTCAATTGGGGAATTATGTATAGCTTGGTTAAGCAACAACTGAGGGGAGACATGGACACTGTTAGAATGTGAACAGTAAACACAAAGGTTCGTGGAATCAGAGAGGCAAAATACATTTTAGATCCTCCAGTCCGATATCTCAATAGAGATGCACCTGCTTACGTCAGGTCTGAATTTGGCCAATAAACACTGCCCCCATTCATTTAAAGCGTTTATGCTGATGTACATTCCAGGACTTTCCCCAAACTGTCAGCTTGCCTGACTACATGGGAAAGAGGAGGGCAGTACTAGAAAGAATGGCTGATCTGACATTGACTTTCACTGACCCTGCACAGAGTAAATGCACTTTGTAGGACTAACTCTTATTTCTTATTTGCAGGGAGCTTTTCTACAGCTCGTACTGTATGGTTTAGGGGAGAGATCAGACTGGGGATGTTATTGTCTTTTTACACTCACTAAGCAAGATGAATTGCTACATCTGTACTCTATGCTTTTGGAATCCTCCTTCAGTTCCAGCAAAGCGAAAAAATAAAGTGCAATATAGGATTTCCAGACAGCACTTTAATTAGAGAAGGACCCAGATCTGAACGTCCCTTAACCTTGTCTGGAATCCAAACCCAGATCTGACTTTTGCAGCTAGTTCCTAACTCCATAAAACCCCAAATCTGAAAAACATAAACATTAGGGGGTCCAGATACAGAGTTCTGTGTAATTCATCTATTTGGGACCTAAATAGCTAACACAATATGATACGACTTATTTCAGAATGAGATAACAAGGGATTTGTTTGCAAGCAGCATTGTGAATGTCAGAATCCTGATTACGGCCCACATTCAGTTCAGCTCCCGCATGTGTCCACAGAAGCGGGAGGAGGGCAAAAGCACTTCCATTCCTCGGATAGACCCTGCTCCCTGTAGCGAGGTCTGGGATTTGAGCATGGCCATGGCCCTATTCCCTCAGCACTGACCTGTCAGAAAAGGGAGTGCACACTGCACCCATTCAAAGGGTGGCAGAGCTGCTGCTCTGATATGTGCACCATTGGAGCCTCCAGGAGGAATTCCAGCTGAACCAGCCACAATGCTTCCTGAGGCCTCTGGCTACAGAGCAAGGCTCATCCACACAAACCAGAATCTAGCCCTGTATCTTAACAGATTCATCAGGGGACTAAGCAAAATCCAATTTTTACTCGATCTTGTTGGGCTAAACCAGTCTGAAATGACTGCAATTTCTCTACCAGTGATTTTTCATCCTTAATTTTAGGACAGCTGATTTTCATAACCAAATGGAGTTAGAACACAATTTTTCAGGTGCTGTGACTGTAAGGAAAGGACATACTCAGAGTTCCTTTTGCCTCCTGCAGCAGTGACTTTTAGCTCAGAGTTGCAAATTGTGCACAAATAACTGCATATGCAAATATGCACACTAATAATTTTCATGTGCAATTGCCATGTATGTATCCATAGCCATGGTAACTGTGTATGCAAATGACCAGTCAAATTTTTGAGTGTTCATTTGCATGTGATATCTCAGAAAATGCAAACAAAAATTACGTTTGCATTTTTGTGCAGACAGTTATTGGCACTCACTTCTGAAAATCTTTGCCTGCATGACTGGGAAGTGCTTGGTTTTATGAATAGCCAGCAAGACTCAAAATGTGTCTGGAGCCTATCTCCACATTTATTTTGGCAGCAAAACTACAAGAAATGCTGTTAGAATTGGAGTACTTTGCATGATGGGCAATTTGAGGATTTTGTGAAGAGTGGGGTTTGGGGAGGATAAATTGTGCTATTATGTATGTCTCATTTCCAGCATGCAAAAACCTCTCGTTTGTAATGGCAAGCAGTGCACCACATACAGACTGAATGCACCAGGCCTAAGTGTTGTTTGCAGTTCCCATGAATTATTTCACAGTCTTTTCTCTTCACGTTCACTTTGAAGTCTGGAGACATTTGTGCTTCCCATATTCGCACGTCCAGTCACAGCGACAGATACAAAACTCTCACAGTTTGGTTGTGTTTCGTTGTCTGTCTCAAAACACGTAGAGTTTGTGTTCGGAGTCTATGGAGAAAAGGGACTTAGAGAAAGCAAATACCAAACAAAGAAAATAAACTGAAAGGGGAAAAAAATCAAATACATTATTCAAAATACTTATTTTAAAAGTTACAAAATAAGACGGTGTTAATGGCACTTAAAGCTATAAGCACTTAAAATATTTCCATCGTATTTTATCATCTTCTGATTTTTAGTTTTTTGTTGGTTATTTTCTTTTTTTTTTAACTTTTGTTTTGTTTTAGGGTTTTGTTTTTGTTTGCTTGTTTTTGGAGGGTATGACCAGCTCCTGTCTAAACCCTAACACACCAAAAGGGACATACAGCCCTGAGATTCTAAGGTTGCTCTGGTCCTCATTTTAGTATTGTAAATGCTCTTAAGACTATTCTTTAAAATTCCAATTCGGCTACAGAGAACAGCCAGTTGCTGACATCATGCAAAGGCTATAGCTTTCTTTCTGTCTCTGTAGTATTACAGCATTAAAACTGAACTTCCTTCCGTGATATAAAGTGTGAACAAGAAAATTGTTAAAAAATTGGCCCACTATTTGATGCGTCAAGCAAAACATTGTATATATCTTTCCCCCACCCCCTCTTTTAAACCATGTAGTGTTTGAACTTGCTTTTTATTCAGTATTTGCAAGTTTATATCAGATATTTCCTCTAAGGGAAAGGAAAACAATTTTTTTTTTGTATTTTTGTGGGTTTTTTTTAAATGAAAAAAGCAATCACATCCTTCAGTATGTCTGCCTTGATTTCACAACCAATGTCCAACTGGCTTCCAAGTCCAGGGACATGCTTTTGGAGTTTAGAAAGATAATGCATCTGTTTTTAAAAATGAAAAAAAAATCTAGCTTGGATCACGTGCCAAAATGTAAACTCAGCCTTATTGAAAGTTGCTAGTTCATCCCAATTATTTCTCCTCTTTTCAATCACCAGTGGGAGGCTCAGTGAAGCCATGATCAATTTAAAAGACACACAGTTCTCGCCTCTTTTTTCACCCTCCCACAGGTTCTTCTAACATAGCTGTCCTTTGCAAACATTATGCCATGGTGGTAGCACTCCAGTTGTATTGCCATGGTAAGTTTCTCCCTTTGCATTTTGCCACTGTCATCTTACACAGGCTGAAGTTCCCCATGTGTTGCTTTCTGTTGCCATTCTCCAGTGCTGTGTTTCTGATTCATTTTGGCAGAGCAAGCTTCAGTCATTATGGCACAGTGAAATATTCTTCGATGCTATGTAATTCAGACTGAATAAGGAGTCTGTATAAGGCACGTGTCTCAATATATATATATATATATATATATATATGTATGTATATAAAAACACTAACATAAGTTAATTAAAGTCAAGCATCTTTTACATTTAATTTCTGTCTTCAAGTAATGTTTTGTTTTCATGTTCCCTTTCTTTGGTTTCAGTGGGGATGGTTCCATTTTCCAGGTTCAAGTGTTGCTGAATACAGTTAGTCAGGATAGCTGTGCTAGAAGAGTTCTCTGAGTTACACATCTTCTCAGTCTCCTCTTCCTTCTTCTCTTCATCCAAGGAGAGGTGTCGGAAGGTCTCATAAATTTTCCGCACATCCTCGGGGATGCACTTTTTCAGGTCTTTGTTTTTCCTTTTGGTCAGCTTGGATGAGGAGCCAAACTTGTTGATGATGTTGTCCTCAGATGACCCCTGCCCATGCTTGTTGAGCTGTTCTGTCCCTTTAAGGCGCAGGTTGTTAGGTCTGTTGTTGATGCTTTCCTGAGATGAGGCCTTGAAGCGTCCCGTCTCCAAGGCAGCGAAGACAGAGCGCTTTTCCGGAGAGAGCATATCCAGTGAGTGGGCCCTCTGGTCCAGCCCTAGGCGCCTACGTTCCATGCTCCGAATGGTGGCTGCCCTCTGAAGCTTGTCATGGATCTCCACGCTGAGCCGCCTCCGGGTTTCCCTGAACTCAGCAGTCACGTTGGCTTTCCATTCAGCCGCGTGGGCTTTTATTTCACCAACCTTCCAGAAAACAAACAAACAAAAACATGCTAAGGAAAGAGGGAAATTCTCACTGTAGAATAACAACACACATTTTTACTCTATATCATAGAATTAGAGATTGGTCAGAGCTGAAAAGACTCAATCTGGAGCTGGAGCCTGCTCCAAACTTCCCCAAAATTTGGCAGTGGTAGCATCAGGCTCAGCTTTAATCATACTATGTCTAGACGGGCTAACGACTTGTATCTCACATAGTAAGTTGTTTATCTTCTTGCATTTGGCTGCCACCAGTGGACATTTTATGTCCAGCTTTCAAGTCAGAAGGATACTCTCACACTCTGACCAACCCTTTCTTCATTAGGGAAACAATAAAACCACTAATTGATAACCTCTGTGCACTCGTCAGGTAGATAGGCAACTCAAAGAACCATCAGCAACCAAGGATTTTTCCATATGAGGCTTTGATGTCTTTAATAACTAAGAAGTCATAAACATAATTATATAGAGACCTATTTCCCAAACTGTGATCACAATTACACCTGTGCAATCCCATTGAAGGTTCTGTATTGAACCCTGCAGTGATTAATTTAGGTAAAATCTATATTCTTATTAAATTATTTTAAATACTGGAAGAAACTTATGGTCCATCTAGTCTGGTATCCTGTCTCAGAAAGTTACCAAATGCTTCAGTCTTTAACGGGAAGTGTAAAAATCTCCATAACTCACTTGAACTATCCAAATATTATATACCAAAGTGTTGGAATTTCTTCCAAATGCCAGCTGCTGATCAGTTTGTTTCCTAAAGCACAAGGATTGAAAACACTTGGGAAATTCCCTGTGGGTGCTTCAAGGAGCCATACAGTTCCATTCAAATGTCCCTAAGTGATTTATTGTTATGTTATGTTTCTAGCTCCAGGCACATGAATACAGAATAATGACTTAGGAATAGGGAGCTCACATAGCTACTGTGTTGTATAAATATTTCTTCTGACAGAAAAAAAGAGAGAGAAATGAATAACTGACGTTGAAGCCTGTCCAGGCCTTTCCCAAGGTCCAACTTGAAAAGAGAACAGATTTAAGCTGATATCGCATCTGATCAGCCCACCAACACAAACCAAATTCTTCCATAATGCATCTCACTTTGTGTCCTTGGAGATACACCAGAGACACATTTGGCCTCAGGTGACTCAGCTGACTTCACAAATAACTCTTGATAATGAACAGCAGTACTAATTTGGCAAACAACTTGTTGGTTATGCATTCCCTAACTAATCTGCCAAAGTAGATTTTGTTGGGATGTAGGCGGGGTGAAATTAACCACATTATGCTTAACAGTATAATGCTGGAGCCAAGGCAGCTACCCTCACTTTCCACCCTGATTATTAGTGAGTCACTAGTATATTGTTTTCCCTTCCCTATGAACTGTGGAGGACAGTGTTTTGGCTGAAATTAACCAAGGGCAAGTGGTACTAGGACACTGACTGCTCTTGCCAAAAGTGGCTAAAGTTTCCTCTGTTTTTTTACAGTATATTTCTACTTCATTTTCACAGAGATGGGCCTGAACCCAAACCCTGACTCTGAACCACTATCCCTGAATTTAGGAGAAGGGGGGTTCAAAATCCACCACAGATTAAAGTTTGACTCTCGCTTTATAATAGGCTGATCCAAACCCTGGGGTCAAATATAAAAGATATGCTATACCTCAAACAGAAGTTTTGGGTTTGATGTAGGAATTACTGGGTGAAATAGTATGTTGGCCTGTGTTATGCAGGAGGCCAGACTAGACAATCATAATGGTCACTCCAGGCCTAAAAAAAAAAAAATCTATGAATCCCCAGTCCTTTGCAAGTGAGAGGAAGTTAAATTCTGGATCCTGATTTTGTGGCCAATTTCTAATTTTGTGGTGGAGGCTCTCTTCTCTTTTTCCATAATGATAGTGCTATAAATCCTAATATCATGCAGTCTCTATAGGGCTATAATGCTAATGACATAGAGTCTGATTCAGTCAATTCCTTTTTTTTTTTTCTCCCTCTCTCATTAAGGGATCAAGAGATCAGAGCCATTAAGTCACACACTAGAATACAAAAAAGGAAGAGGCTTGAAAAGAAGCAGCCAAAAGGGTAAATACAAAGGATTATTTAGCATTAGTTCAAATAAGGGACCATCCCTCCCTGGCCAGCAGTGATCTGGCATTTAAAGTTCTCTTATAAAGTGATAAATCATTGATCAACTAGCAGTCATACCTCTTCTTTTGTCTTCTTGGATAGAACTCTTAGCCAGTCTCCAATCATACTCAGGACAGCAGCAAAGTAGGCAAGGCCGACGAGGATCCAAAACCAGACTAAGGGCTTGTACCACTCCCGATAATGGATATCAGTATTTCCCCCTGAAATAAGCATACATGGTTCTGTTCGTGCGTAGGAACCATGAGATGGCAAAAATATTTAACACCAGGCCTTCTACAATTCATGGAAACTCATGAAAGTATTTCCTGGTTCTCATTAGCAGGTTCCTTCTGTCCTATGAAATGACTACAAGTTTGTCTGGTCTGAGAAACAGCTGGAATCCCCAAGCCCCTTCCTACACTTAGACCCTTCCTAAAATGGTTTAATGTTCTGCTGCTGTGTGGCTGATCAGAATATTCCATAAGTTTTTTCTTTGCATCAAATAATATTGTGGAGGAAGGTATTGGATCCCCAGTTTTACTGCTTGTTTAAGGGCACAAACAACTTTTCAAAGACTAAGCCTAATACAAGTAGAGAATATCATTTTCTGATATACCACACACTATATTTTAATCAGTGATAGACCAGTAAAAGAACCCCTGTGGAATATACATTATGGAAAATATTTTGATCTGACGCACATTTCACTAAATTCTACACATGAGCCCAACCTGAAACATCATATTTGAATCAGGATCCCAACTTCCATAAAGCTGGGGCCTGTTTGGATCTGGGGATTTGACCTGGTCCAGTCTAGAAAGAGGGACCCTTCTGACTATTCAGGGCCATCTAGATCCAGAGTTTGGATTTGGGCTCTTCACTTGTTATATTTTCTGTTTTATCTTAAACAGTTTCAATCCAGATACAGAATCTAATTTTCCTGTTTTACATTTTGGCCACTAATTAGCATATTTCATTTTATTTAAGGAAGATGCACTCCAGTGTTACACATCTATATGTTTATAGCCACAGACAGAACACGGGATTTGTCCCCACTGACAACCCATGCTACAATTGAATGTTTTTCCCCGGAGCTTTTATAGGCTGTTTGCAATCTGATACATTCTAATGAGCCCTTAAAATGAGTTTTACCCAGCCTGAGCATGAGTGTACTTACAATGATTGAACACTCCCTTGAAAGCCCAGGCATTTGGGTGCTGGCAAGGACCCAAATATTGTTTTTGATTCTAATCTCTCTTCATACACACTATGAATCACTTTGCCTTTCCAGTCCTCCACCATGTGAACCAGAGGGAGGTTTGTCATTGCTATAGTACAAGGAGGCCACTCTGGTCACACATGTCTCAGTGGAAGCTTTCTATAAAGTGGATTGCTGTGGTCTGTCACATTGAATAGCCAGGCAATGGATGGAGTGCCACACTATCTTTCCCAGCCTATCAGATTTTCCACTGTGTCCAGCAACAGCAAACACTTTTTCCAATTTACAGAGACACTGGGCCAAATTCTCAGATGGCATAAATCAGTGCAGTTCCCTTGTTATGACTTTACCTCACAGGAGTGTATCTTTATCCCCATTTTACAGATAAGGAAACTGAGGAAGGGAGCGATTAAAGAGTCTTCCTCATGGTCTCACAGGAAATCTGTGGCAGGACCAGAAATAAACCACAAATCTCCTGCTTCCCGCTCCAATGCTCCTATCATAAGATCATCCTTGAGGCTTTTGGGTCACATTCCATTTGGTTCTAGTAAAACATCAGCTGTGGGCTGCTGAATGATTTTGGATTTTATTCTTCTGGCCATTTTAGCTGCCAGACATTTTTTTTTTTAAATTTAAAGATCTAATATTTTAGAATTAAATTAAAAAAAAAAAACAGTGAGGAAGGGAAACTTCCACAGACCCAGGAAAAATATTGTGAAACACCCACATTTCTTTGGTTACCTTCTTATGATACCACAAAAACCCAACCATCAGTAGATTCTTCTATCCAATATTCTTCACATTCAAATAGTTAAAGATGGACCAAAGTCAAAAAATTCAGATCTGGATCTGAATTTTCCCATAGTTCAGGTGTATTCAGATCTGGGGTTTGATTCAGGCCCATCTGCACAGATAACTCATGTCTTCCCTACCAAAATAAGAAAGGGAGGGTGAGGGGACTCTTTATAAAAGAACAACTTTTAGCAAGCAAACTGGTCACCAACTGGTTGAATTTGAATTGTTTTAACTCACTCAGATTTCATTGGTGTAATGGGAGATAACAGGACAATTGCATAGTACATCTCTTTGCAACACAGGGATCCATACTCGTCTCAACACATTTGTCATAGCCAGTAAACATTAATGGGAATGGAGCTCACATACCAATGGGAGAACAGATGCCTCTGAGTTTCTAACCACCTTTTCCTCAGCAAAGCTGCTGTGACCACCAATCCCAGGACAGCCCCTTTGCTGGTAATTGATGGGGGTGAATATTTATGGTACCTGTTTAGGACTGCACTCATCCCAGAAAATACACCGTATACACATAACACTCAAATGCACATCTCTTAGTCCCATTTCACTTCTAATGTTAGTTTTCCTTAATGGGATGGCTGCAGTATCAAAATTTCTATCCAGGTTAGAGAGTAAAATCCTGCGAGCTGTCTCCTAGAAAGCTGCAGCTCATGCCATAGAAGCTGTGCTCCTGTTACAGCAGCTACCAGCTCTATTGGACTGCACAGCTCACACATGGCCATCCAATGGGAAAATCTCATCAGTGCATCCCCTTAGCTACTTGCTTCACCTATTAAAGCCTTTATCAGTGTGATGCAAAAGGCACTAATACAATTCAGATGTCTTGAATTCAATAGGAAATTAATTTCACTCATGCACAATTCATAGCATGATAAAGGACAGTAAGAGGTTCCAAGAGGAAGATACTCATTTTGCTTACACTGCTCAGAGCTTGTGCTCGTCAGATGGCTAGACACCTGGATTTTAAATTAGCTTGTACTGCTGTGTTATTTGTCAGTTGCACAGTGACACAGATGAAGACATTCGGAATCATTTTTCAGTGGAATTCAATGTGTTTTTAAAAGCCTGCTATGCACCTTAGAAAAATGTGTTGGAGCCAAGGCAATTCTACCTGAGGCCACTAGACTGAGGGTGACATTTCAATGCTCAGATTACTTACCTGCTACAAAATCGCCAAAGCCAACCGTGGTCAGAGTGATGACCACAAAGTAAATGGACTCCAAGGCTGTCCATCCTTCAATCTGTTTGAAAATGACTGCAGGGATGGTCACAAAGACAATGCACCCTGCTAAGATGAAGAGGATAGTGGAGATCACCCGGATCTTTGTCTGACTCACTTGTTTTTTCTAGAAAAGGGAACAAGAGAGAACACATTTTTGATAGATTATTGATGCTTTTCCCCCAGTTGTTGAATTTAACATACATGGCAGGACTGGTCATGTAAACAAGCCCTTAAAAACAATCCTTGTTGTGCCTGGTCCCAAAGCACTGCTGCTCCTGCTGGTACTTCTGCCTTTTTCCTTATATTAGGCTGAACCTCTCCACAACATCTACCCTTTGTGCTGGGCTCCAGTGCAATGCTGCTCCCTATTTCCCAGTCAGTGGCATGTGTGCTAACCTACATGAAGCTTGGAGTGCTCCACATCCCAGAGCAAATGAGATTGTGACTTGGAGTAGCTAAGGATCCATTGCAGGTTCAGAAAAATTAATGGGGAGTACATACATACATGCGCGCGCACGCACACACAAAATACCAGTATTGTCAACCCCAAGCAGTCAGAAATCATGAGTCAGGTGTAAAAAAATCATAAAATTGGCTTAAAAATCATGAACATTTTAAATAATAATACTTGTGGGGGGGGGTCTTTTTATTTGATTTCTGAGCCTTTAGGGTGCACTCAGGTCACATTTTCCAGCTTTTCACAACAACCACGAGGGCTAGAAACTCACTATTTTTTTAAATGAAGGCTGGAATTCTCATGTAATCCCCTGACTCCAAGAGATGTGACTCCAAGTAAAACACTAGATATCGTGAGCCTGGAGATAACATTTTGAGAGCTGGCAACACTGCTTGGGGATCTGTAAGACTATGCTGTTGAGCCTTTAAGCTGGGAGAGAAAGAAAGTTCTAGCTGCTGTAAATTAAATACCTACATCAGTGATGTAATATTAATTTTTTCAACCCTGGTTGATACAGCTGAGGTCACTGGGTCAAGATTCTGATTTCAGTTATCTCAACAGTCAACAGTTAACTCTGTTGACTTCAGTGCAATTGTTCCAAATTTACTATGCTATAAATGAACTCAGAATTTGGTACAACAGCCCAAGAAATCACTGGTCTATTGTAGATTATTTTAAACTCCGATTTAAATTTAATATGTTTATCCTGTAGAGGGAATGTGGAGGTTAAGATGTATATTACATGTTTTCAAATTAGTTCTCCAAACTATGTGCCTTAACCCAGAACTGAGGTCTCATTTCAGATTAGATCATCTAGAAAGGAAATAAGGTTTCAGAAATTGTCTTTATAATATCCCTAGAGGCTATGGACTAAACTGGACAGTTACCAGTCTAACCAGCCAGTGCACAGTCCTATTGCTCTTCTCAGAAGGAGTAGAAACTGCATTTCCTTGGAGCCTGCAAAGTTGAATTGTGAAAGGTTGCTTGAATATGAGACACAGCAGACAACACCCAGGTAATAGCCTAAATACATTATGTCTCATAAATGCCATTTTAAAACAAATATTGTATGCTATTCTTCCCCTCACTTATTTTTCTGAACACTTGTGTTTACCCTTTGTCTATTTTCAGAGAGCTAACAGGAAAAGATTACAGTAAACATGACTAATCTAATGCAAGACCTGAAAAAAAATCATACTCAAGTACCAAGCAGATAAACCACGCTAGAGTATTCAAACTTACTCTCTATTTTTTTCCTTTGGGGAATTATTTTGCTTTGAGGAGCTTTCTGAAAACATTAAAATCCGATATAACTTCATTAGGAATTGTTTCTTGCTGAGAGAAACCCAGAATTGCAGTATTCCACTTTATACTGTTTTGTATGACGTGTAACTTCTCTCCCTAGTCCCCATATGTCCACGTCAGCATGCATTTCAGTGTGAGTGACAATTCAGTCTCTGCTTATGATAGGACAATAACTGGAAGATGCTGGGTGTTACAGATCAGGACCAGGAAACACTTGGGACATCTGCTTGTTCAAGCCAGCGTTATAATTCCCTCAATTTCATGGACAATAAACACAGCCAAAGGTTTTTAAGAGAAACGAAAAATGACCATTCACTCATATAAAGGTAATGTGCACCACACAACTGGATAGTGAGCCATCAGGCCTGATTCACTTCTACCCTGCACCACCATTTACACCAGGGCAAAGCAAGGGTAAAATGCCACCAGACCAGAATAGTAGTATTGTACATTCACTGTGCATTAGCATAAATGATTATACAAGGACAATGATGAATCAGGCCCATCATTTTTAGAGCTAGTGAAAATAGCACAAAAGCAAATCCCCTCCCCTCTCCCCCGTTACATTATTTGCTAGACAATAATATGTGGAATCCAGTATACAAGTAGATTGGCAGACTCAATTTTTTTTCACAGTATGGACTAACATCCTAGTCAAAAGCTTGTCTCATGGTGTGACACAGAGCCAGACTGGGTTACGCTACTAGCAAGCTAAATGACGTAAATTCAACCTTTAAAGACATATTAGAAAAGTATATAAATGGTAATTAAGGCCATTCCTTAGAATTAGAAGAAGATAGTGATTGTATTTGTCTGTGTCAGGGGTTCTCAAACTGGGGTCGGGACCCGTCAGGGGGTCATGAGGTTATTACATGGGGGGTCGCGAGCTGTCAGCCTCCACCCCAAACCCTGCTTTGCCTCCAGCATTTATAATGGTGTTAAATATATAAAAAGGTGTTTTTAATTTATAAGGGGGGGTCACACTCAGAGGCTTGCTATTTGAAAGGGATCACCATTACAAAAGTTTTAGAACCACTGACCTATATCTTGTTAGAGGTTAACAATGTAACCAGACGTTCCTGTCTGTTACTATATTCTATTAACTGAGAGATCAAAAGGGGATATTAACATTTAGATGAAACTTGGGTGTAATATCATTGTATATATTTCTCTTTAAAGTTTGTAGCAAACTGTCTATGAACTGCTTAATGGATAATTACCTTATGCTGATGAATGCAACTAGTTACCTGTGTATAAATAGGAAATAGGAGGTTTTATTTCAAAGCCACAATGCTTCACCCAAGGAATACCTCCTGTCCAAAGGCTATTAACAGCCTGCCAGAGATCGATAAAAGAACTCTAGGGCCCTGATCCTGTTATCTCAGATCTGCTTAAGCTTGGTCAGGGGAAGCTTGAGTCGCAAGTCCCAGGTCTTCAGCTCCAGTCTGGATTACCCTGCTACCTCTCATGGAATAAATTCAATAAACACTGTATATGGACTGCCTATTTGGACTATAACCTGATGAACTGATTCTGGAAAGAACTTTTTGCAGTTCAGCAGCTCACCATCTCTACTATGAAACTGACCTAAGAACAGGTTTCAGAGTAGCAGCCGTGTTAGTCTGTATCCGCAAAAAGAACAGGAATACTTGTGGCACCTTAGAGACTGACAAATTTATTTGAGCATAAGCTTTCGTGGGCTACATCCCACTTCTTCTATGCATCCGAAGAAGTGGGCTGTAGGCCACGAAAGCTTATGCTCAAATAAATTTGTTAGTCTCTAAGGTGCCACAAGTACTCCTGTTCTTTTTGACCTAAGAACTTTATTCATACCTGTGCGTATAATGACCTATTAACCACAATACTCTCTCTCTCTTTTCTTTTTAATAATTTTTTAGTTTAGTTAATAGAATTGGTTGTAAGCGTGCGTGTATTTGTGTGAGATCTGAAATATTCATGGACCTGGCAGGTAATGTGTCTGATCCCTTGGGATTGGTAGAACTTTATGATTAACAAGATTTTCAGTAATCCTCATATTTGCCTTGACTGTCTGTGTGGGAGCCCAAGGCTGAATTGCTTTAAGGGAGCTGTATTTTTGGTTTGTGGGTAACCAGTAAGGTGTTGTAGAAGCTGTTTTTTGCTGGTTTGGAGAATCTAATTATTAGAATAACCACCAATTTGGGGGATCGTCTGCCCCATTCTTTGCAGTTTGCCCTGATTGAGCAATCTCAATGTGGCTTCCCGCCAGGCACCAATGGTCACACATAGATACCTCCCTACTCATTCACAGTTGTGTGCACCCATGTCCTGTCCCTTTTGCAACTGCATGGGCAACCTCCTTTTCCATTCATGATTGCACAGCATCCCTGTGACAACTTCAACAACAGTTTACACTGGAAAGAATTGAATATTTTTTCCTGTCTTTTAATGCAGTGTAGCAACTGAAAGCAACAAGGGAAAGCCAGCACCATATGACCACCCAGCTCGCTCTGGGCCACCAGCAAATGCTCTGCAGACCAGATCTTGGAAACCACCAAAATAGACCAGAACTGGATCCTTCAGTCTGACTGTCACTGGCTGGCTGGCCAGGCTCAGCCTCGCCCCCAGCTAATGGTGATTCAGCAGCTTACTGATAATTAGTTACTCCCACTGCAGGGAGTCAGGAAGGATGACTTAAACAGAGCTGGAAATTCACTCTGAGGGGAGAGCCTGCAAAGGAGGGTCCAGCAGTTTGGGGTTGGCTGTAGTCAGAGAGCAGAGCCATGGGAGTAGAGCTAATTCCTAAGATGAGCCCCTAGAACACGGGGCAAGCATCCAGGAAGACAGTCCTGAGGCTGGCATTCTGCAAGGGCAACAGGAAATAGAAGAGACCCAGAGGGAGCAGGGCAGGCTCCGGTGGGTGATGCCTGAGATACGGCTCCTCCTGCTCCTTGTAGGCAGTCCCTGCCAGAATCCCGGGGGAAGGGAGACAGTAAGGAATCCTGCTGGGGAGAATAAACTTAAGAGAAGCTCTGCAGGGGCCAAGAAGAAGAGGACTTCAGGGGAGCCTGAGAGAGGCACAAGAATTATTAGTCTGAGCATTTGTCATGGACTTTCAGTTTGACCTTTTGTTACCCCAGAAGGCATTTGAACTTGTATGTGACTTGGCTTGGATTTCTGCAATGCTGCCTCCAGGTACGAGGGGGCACTATTCATGGTGAATGTGCACATTGCATAGGATTGGGTACTTGAGGTGGGGCTTCGGCCCACTGAAGGGAAAAGCCACCATGTTAGTGCTGTAAAACTACGCAACCAAGAGGAAACTGAAATAAAGAGGGAAGAGACAGGGTCGTCTCCCCACCCAGAGGCCTGGGAACAGCAAT